TATGAAACCGTTGTGGGAGAGCGAGGAATCCAGCTATCTGGTGGTCAGAAACAAAGGGTAGCAATAGCTCGTGCTATAGTGAAAGATCCAAAGATTTTGCTCCTGGATGAGGCTACTAGTGCACTTGATGCAGAATCTGAAAGAATTGTTCAGGATGCGTTGGACCGAGTGGTGGTCAGTCGGACAACTGTGGTGGTTGCTCATCGACTCACTACTATTATGAACGCTGATCTCATTGCTGTTGTTAAAAATGGGGTAATCATAGAGAAAGGAAAACATGATGAGCTGATTTGTTTAAAGGATGGAGCTTATGCTTCTTTGGTAGCTTTATATTCAAGTGCAAACACCTCATAAGTTGTTCTCAGTTTTCTTAATGATTTTGATAAATAAAAAGTTTCACGTCCATTATTTGTCGAATAACCACAAAAAAAGTTTGTTATCTGTGTAAAATATTGGCATTGAAGTAATTACTGCTAAAGATAGGGGTGGATTTTCTATGAAAAATTAATTTAGAGCCTTCTATTAATAGGTATCTATATTGTTGTGTGATAGAGTCATAATTGTGGATCAATAGAGTGTGATCTGAACATTGGATTGATTACGCTCATAAGCAGTCAAATAAGATGTGAATGCTTTGTAAAGAGATCATCAAGTAGGTGACAACGACTTTATATATGCTTAAAAATATAAGTATTTAGAATTACTGCTAGAAGATTTAATTCATCAGCAACAACACCAAAAACTTTGACAACAGTTATAGATTCGATAAAGATGTATATATAAAATATTCAATAATGGTAAAGTCACACTTATCAATGCAAGTATACGTATCGCTCAAGTAATATAGGGCTCTAATGGAGTCCTAGAAATCGATCTCACAGGGAGTATATTAGAAGCTATGAACTAAAATTTTTAGAAAATCAATACTTAATCACAACAAGATAATTCAAATTGCTTATCTGTCACTAATAGGCAATCGAAAGAAAAATGTAATTTTAATAGCTCTTAAATAACTAATTATACTAATAAGTTTCTAATGTGAAATTCAATATATAAGAAAACATCCTTCTCCTTGTCAAGAAATTATAGTGAATGTATAAAGTGAATCAGTTCTAATTGTATGGTGTCAAATAGGAGCATACATATTCTTTACCCTTTGGTCTAAACATAAAAAACATTGACTAATCCTATGCTTGTTTATTGAATCTGCGGCTAGGCTGGGAGGATACCGTCTCTCACTTCGGAGCTCTAACGTTCCCCTCGCCTGAGGGCTAACATCTACACTTCAGAACCCAAACGATAGGACCGAATTGGGGATTTTAGTCTGACACTGTAAAATCTCCAATTCTACTCCCGAATTCTTTATTTCCCTATTTATTTGCAACCAACTTTCAAGGGCTTTGACTTCCCTGAATCTTGGATGTAATATTCACTTTAGTTGTAGTAATCTTCACTTTAGTTGTAAAACTTAACATATTTTAACAAATCAATTGGCCAGATTGAAAGTAAATTAAGATCGAAGTGAAAAAATCATCACAACTTCTTTAACATTTTCAAGGCTCAAACAATTCAAATCATCATTTCAGAAATCTCAAAACAAAGAGAAAGACAGAGAAAACTACTCAGAACTCATTCATACTAATAATTGCCTATCTTAATGAACTCAAATTTTGGTTACTATATATAAAAGTAAAGTCATACAAACTACAACGAGTAAATAACACTTATCTCTAATTCCTCCCTAAGCAATCTCCTTAAAGTTCCTCTGAATCTCTTTCTTTCTTTACAACACACAGAATTCTTCTTCGAAGCGGCAAGGAGGAAGAAATCTTTCACTTTCCCTCCACTCTTACAATTTCTCGAAGAATTCCTCACAAATTGTACTCTCTACACACTACTATGACACCTACCACTAAACCTAACTCGTAAAACTGCCAAAAACCTCGAGCCCCCCTCTTCATTTTCGGCCAAACTCTTCTTTTAAAATTGTAGAAGAGTTTTCCCAAGAGTTGCCTAAGCATCCCTCCAAAAATCATCCACATTCAATGCACCTTTTGAATTACCCGCCGGACTCGCCGTCGGCGGCCCCGCGGGCGCCCGCAGCGTGGCCTCTCACTAATTAATCTGGAGTCTCGGGAAAATCTCCCCGTCGGCACCCTAGTTCAATTCTTCATATTTTGGTCCTTTTCACTACAAATTGGCTCCTTTTTGCATCCTTTTGCTCCTATGACCATAATTCATCTAACCTGCACAAAACATCAAAATTACCTTTCTTTAAAGTGCAATATCATAAAAAACAGTGTAAAATAGGTATGAAAATCTCAACATATTTTCCTTTGGTCAAAATCTCCCAAACTTAACTATTACTTATCCTCAAGTAAATTTTAGTACTATATAAAAGTTATGATCTATTGTGGTAAAATTTTAAAAAAAAATACTATGTGTTTGATTTAAATAAATACTATAGTGAGATCTTCAGAAGAATTTCAAGTAATTAAATTAACTCTGGAGGTATAAGATTATCCAGTCATCTAGTTTAAGAGTTTTAGTTTTCTATTCATTTCAAGAATGATTACATGTTGTATCATCAAGTCACTTAAACTATTCAAATGATGAGAACTTCATGAGAACATAACTAAAAAAAGATCTAATCCATAAATATAAGTTTAGGAATGTATTTAGGTTTTCCCTTTAGGTAGGTCCAATGAAGCCAATTTTTGATTAGGCATCTCCTCAAGCTTCTCCTCACTTTCATATATATTTTTTTTCTTTCTTTTCTTTTCTCTTTTTCATTTGGATTGCTTTCAATCCCCCACCCGTTTTCTTTTCAGGGATTGTTTTCAA